AATTTACTTCACTTGGGAAAAAAAATAATTTATGCATTATTATTTGTACATTTGCCCAAAAGCAGTCAAAATGACTTGCTTGGGCAATCTATTGTTAAATATGTATAGCTGAGGCTTGAACACGATCATTAAAAGACGCACAGGTGATTACGTTTTCGCGTACACGTCATAAAGAATAATACCGTGTACAGTGAATGGTTGAGTAATTTCAGAAAGTGGATCCATTAACGTCCTTTATCGCCATTTCGCAAACTTCACCATATAAAGTTTCTCGTGTATACACGCTGAATAGCTCTTGAGCGTATTCAGTAAAGGTTGCACAAATTTCCTCGGAGTATCATAGACTGTGTAAACTTCGGTCACCGGAGGATAAACTCGTTCCGGCTGGCAGTAGTCTAAGGTGGCGTTGGTCAGCCAGTAGTGGCACTCGACGGTCCGTCAGACGACCGGGTACCGCAGCTCGCTGATAATAATCAGACAATTAGGTGTACTTCGGTCGCCGAGCACGCACTCGATCACCGTCGCATTAATTAAATTGCACAGTCGTATGCGTTTACCAATGATTCACCTCACTTCTACGTAGACACAATAATAATAGTCGCGGCGATAATTGGTGGATGTTTCTGGTTTGGCAACTGGCCTGTGGTAACGCACGTACCTACGCGTTTGCCGCAGTTCGGTTCTAGTTGTTATTGCGCGACCCGATATGCGTTTACAAAATACGGAGTCAACAATCGTAACTTGGTAAACGTAGTCGTATCGCGTTACGATGGATAGATCCGCAATTTCGTATATTCGTGATTGAATTCATACGATTTCCCAAGGGTGATTCGTTTTTGCAATACGCTGTTTCGTGATCGAAATTAATTATAACGAAGCGACTAATTAGTTTCTACCGTTTGCCAATTATCCAAGCAAGATGTGAAAGGGTTGGAATGGATCGTAGATGGACCGTTGTGTCAATCGTTTATTTCCCACAATTGAACACAGGAGGCTTAGCACGCGGTCAGTCGGAATTAATTTGCAGCCGGCGCGCAATAACGGCGGTGAGTGAATCGATTAATTCTACCGCATACGGTAGAGATAGACACTCTTTTAATCGCTTTATAATCGCGTCATAACTGTCGTGTTTCCGCCGGCTATCATACAACCAGAATTTATTGAATTCTATCGACTCCCATTCTATTATCTGATTATCACGGCTCCAATAGTCATTTCTATTTCACCATTTTGAATCCCCGACTGATCTCTTCAATCGAATTGAACAAAAAAAAATCCGGTACGTGTCAATTAATCCCTTGCACTATTCGGAACCTCGGGAAAAGTCAGGCCAAACGCGGCTGCCTCGATTGTTGCGGTGAAAGGCGAGCGGTGGAGCGCGCGTGCCGAAACTTGAGAACTATCAATTTCAAAACTTTTAAAAAATACTTTAATTATTACATAAGATGAAAACAATCCTATTCGAGATGTTCATAATTGGTCCAAAACTAAGACCACGAGTCAGACTCGTGATATTCATGTTCGGCCTGAAATATCGAGTACGAGTCAGGCTCGTGATATTCATGTTTGGTCTGGAACTGAACAACGAGTCCGACTCGTGACATCCATGTTTGGCCTAAAATTTTTATCACGAGTCAGACTCGTCAAAATAGTGCAAGGGGTTAAGGAGATGAATCAGCGAAAACGTATTAGTTACTTCTTTGATCTTTGCATAAAAATCCGATGTTCGAAGTAGTGAAAGGGAGAGCCTCATAATTACAGAAACGAAAGAAATTTTCTCCGCGGGTAAAACAATAAATCAATGTTATTGCCATTGTCGTTTCCATGAAATAAATTACGTTAGGAGTTCTCGTTTTATTTCGCCAACGTGGCGTATGAGCTGCCTGTCTGTCTCGTCCGCCCGCACTTCATCAATCTATTCCACCGCCCCTTCCTCACCGTTTTGAATACCCGCTACATCCAGATTCCTCGCTTGCTTCGATGTTAGTTCAGATTTCCGTTTCTTGTCGATTCCTCCGTGCCTACGCTACAATTTATGAGCAAAGTTCGCCCGGCAAGTGCAACCACGGTCCAGCTGGAATTTTACTCTGCCATTACTCTCGTCCTCGTGCGACGATGTATAAAAACCCGATGCATGACTCTCGAATCAACAACTAAGGGAAATCCTGTTGACAGACGTACTATGGATTTTACGCACGTAAAGAAACTAAAAAGTGAATGTTGCATAAAAATCTGCAATCTAGATTTATCCTTCGTCGGACTAATAACAATTCTTGTTTGCTAAGATCGTCGACGCGTAGAAAATAAAATTCGCATGTCGACGAATGGGCTGGGATTACGCGAACAATTTGTAACTAAGCGAGAAATTAACTGGTGAAAATGCACATTCCAACGTAGCGGCCGTCGGTTGGTCGATGCAACGTTCAACTTTCCTTCCACGAGCGCCCTCGAAACGTACCGTGGAAAAATTATGCGGATTTATTGCATCGCGCACGGTTCCGTTAATCCGATATTCGCCCAACAATTTTCAGATACGATGCATATGATTGCTGACTAATTGTGCGTCTAATTTTCCAACGTGATGTAACATGTTCGCTTTTCGAAGGAGGGAAGAGAGATATTTCATGATCAATACATCTATAATTAATAAAACGATGTCCGTCATTTAAATTTATTATTATGTGCATTTACATTTATTAGTTCATTTCGTCTGAATAATATCAAGTCTGCCCTCAATTAATTTCATTTTCCATTCGCCAATCGGTACAGTCAATACCGTTTAAACACATATTTAAGGTGATTGATAATTGTGCGTAATAACAGGAAGTCATTATTTATATCGTTAATCAGTAGATAATAATGCAACAATTGATATCATTTTTCATTTAATGATTGATAGCATAATTCATGTACAAATTGTTTGAAAGATATTTATTGAGTAAATATATCCCAATTTTGGAAGTAAATTTCATTTTAGAAAGCTGCATAAAATCTATAAGGAATGATTATTTCATATTAATTTGTAACTACTTTGATGATAATGACTAGAAAACTGCATGTACATATGTGTATGTTAATGACGCAAGTGCTGTACTATGCTATTCTGGATACACTACTGAATTTCAGTAGAGGAAGCACGTCGCTGGTCAGATGGGGAATAGTGGTGGAAGTAGCGGGGATAGGGTAGAGGGAGCACGCGAGAGCCAGGTGACTCATCGTCAGTAAGCGGTCGACCGTCACGCGGAAACGTTCGTGTGAGATTTTGCGTCTCTCTGATCGCGTTTATCAATTTGTACTGTTCACTTGTGCGCGCGTTTCACGTTACTTCTTTTCGTTCTCGTCGTGGAGATGAAGTGACCGATCGTCCCCCGAGAGAACAGAAGCATGGATCGGCGCGGTGCCTTCTTCATTTCCATCGCTTGCATTCTGATCGCCCTCGCCGTCGCCTCGGGTGAGTTTTTTTACCTTTCGTTTCCAAGGTTTACGCTGGATATTTTCTACAAATTGTTTACGTCGGTATATCGACAGAATTAGATTATTAAGTCAAGGAAGTTGACTAATTAAATAGTGGAAGAACGATTTCTCGAGGTCGAAGTATCATCATTATTTTACAGATTGAAGATTCATATATTCTCCCGCTAATCATGGGAGACTAAAGTTTCTCGATTAGGATTTATTGTCAGTATACCGACAATGTAAACTTTTTAATCAATCGTCGTGAATAGTAACGATACAATCGTAAAGTATTATTGTGCTCTAAAACTGAGAGCAATCTGTATTCTTCAACGGGCTCAGCTGAGATTACGACGCTAACGTGTTGTCTATTCACCCTGTGATTGAAGTAAAATACGGTCATTGTGCAAACGTAACTGGTCTTGTCACATGTTTATTCACCTATTTGGACGGAACGCGGAAGCATGACCTCGAGGGCTTCAGTGTACTACGCGGAAGCACAATATGAAAACACAGCTTTCGTACGCGAACATCTTTTTGTTTCATTATTCGCAGTTTTAAAAGCAGTGAAATTATTCGTCCATTTATTTTCCGATATTAATCATCATGTCGATAACGAATACCTGATATAATTTTCACCATGGCAGACGCGTTTATAACAATTCCTCATTCTACCATTATGCATGTAAATTTGTAACCGTTGTTGCAGAATTGTAAATCGCGCGTAAAGAATTTATCGAAAAATACACATTTTGCAATTGGGACATTAACGGAAAATCGTTTAATACTATAATATTCACCCGGGAAAAATCGTTACTCTCATTTTAATTATTCATACCTAGCGATTATTAATTTTTTAATATGACGTATTGCGTTTACTCTGCTGTATTAATTTGATAAAACTACGATGTAACTATTAGTTTTTCTGATGAATTTGCACGCGGCAAGGATTTACAAGCATTACGACGGACGTTTAAAGGGTTAATATTAGAGTCGGTCGCGTTGTTCGTGTCAGCTCATGATCTCTCCACGGAAGCGGCATTCCATTTTGACCCGTTAACTCGCAATCTATGTACACCCTTTTCCGCTCGGTTTCTTTCATTGTCGACTCGTGCGCTTTACGCAAACAGCACGCGGCCTTGTTGCCTCGCTGCTCGGCTCGTAATTCGCTCCACGCAGAGGAGAGAGATTCGGAGTCCTTTCGCGACTTGGTTGCAACCCCGCGGGAACCACCGGTACACGTGCACCCTGTCTCACTCTCTCTATCATGCTAAATTTAACCAACCGATGTCGTTCGACTCGCAACTATTCTAGATAATTATTGAGTCACTAGTTAACACGTTTCAAGATGTAAACCATTCTTGATTCCACGTTATCAGTCGTTGTAATATTCAGGATTTTTGCGGAAAATGAAATATTTATAGCGGGCAATTTACAAAATGCATTTTGTATGAACTTTTGTGTTATTCAACCGAAGCAATATCGCTTCTGTATTTTCACGGAGTATTTAAAGCGCTTTACAAATGCAGGATCAGTTCCTAGTTTGTCCAAGCTCTAATTATACTAGTTTCAAAGCTTTTTAAGTTTCTGGTGTCCCTTTTGTCAGAGAATAAACGAAATAGACTTGGAAATGGTAGAAGAAAGGTATAGAAGTTCGTTGTAATGGAATGCTAATACTAGTGAAAGGGGCTTTGCTGTACTTTCAGTAGGCGGCTCGGACGCGAGAGTTTCGTGAACAACAGGGCTCATTATCAGTCTCTTAAGTCACACTATGTACCGGACACTTCGTTAACGGTGGAGAAGTACTGTCCCAAAAATGTTACCCAAAAGTGTAGGAATAAATTTACATTTTTTTATCTATACGTATATCACGCGGCCTCGACGGTCTCTTTGATGCGAGGGTTAGAGGGGCGTGTACTTTCATTTCGCGTGCTCGCATAAATCTTGGAAAAGAGGACAACGGCATCGAGCGAACTCGGTCAATTAAATTCGCGTCAGTAATTCTTGGTACACTTAAAGATATAACTAACCGTTTAACGATTCCCTCATATGTTGTGTCAGTTCTATTGATATAGTAATAAATCGATGAAATTTCGGAAAGGAAAGAATATTCATCAAAATTCAGAAGTACTTCCCTAGCATATGAATTATTGAAATTGGAGAGGTTGACCTCTATCAGTGCAATTAATGCTCGTCTCTTTGACCTCGGCATCGGTAAATATCGAGGTTTCGCGAGATGCCGGAGTTGATGCCACTCCCTGGTAGCGACAGCAACTTGCGCGTTGGTTGAGTTTGCAGAAATTCCCTGAGCACATCGCGTCGCCAAGTTCCCTGATGAGTCGGCGGGCTGGATTCGAAATCTTTATATTTGCGAAGCAACTCGTAATTAAGCTCGATCCTATCCAGCTAAGAACCGGGGCCAATGTTCGTTTCGGTGTTTGACTTGGGCCTGCCCGAAATCCTCTGATCCTCGCTGACGAGCGAGAACCGTGGAGGATCGTTCGATCGCATTGTTTACTCGCTGAACGTTTCATTCAGCCCTGGCAAACAGTCGAGCGTGAAATAAAATAGAACAGGGAAACCTTCCTCGAACGCTTCACGACGTCCTACAGAAATTCTATTTTTTTTTTTTCAAACTGAAATTGTTTTTCGATTCCCCGGCGATCAGCACGGGTTGATATTATCAGAAATTGGAGCGAGGAACTTTGTAATTGGTTGATTGAGCCGCGTAGACACTCATTAACGGAGACACGGTAACGCAACATTTGGAAGTAGTATTCGCTTTCCAGAACTAGTCGAGCTTAATGAGGCAATAGAGATTCTCGTGACGCTTAATTATCAATCTCCCGCGTTCCAACCTGCACAGGGAGGCAGCGCGAGGACGTACAGAGGCGTTTGAGCCGAGAATCAAACGGAGGAAAATACGTTGTAATAAGTCTGCTTAGAAGTTGGTACAGTAAGTGCAAAGTTTACCTTGGCTAGAACTTGACGGTCTTAAGGCTTTCCAAAGTCAATCTTCATTCTTCACGCTGACACGTTGTTATACATCGACATGTCTCTGAAACTTTCCTAATTTCTCGTCAACGATGTATCCGGACGAAATACTGTCAATCCGTGGCAAAAACTTTTTGATCAGTGCAGTAAGAGTGATATTGGATAAGAATACTTAAGACGATAAGGAAGATTGTAAAAACGGAACGCGTGAACTATGAATAAATAATGATATTATTTACGTATTGAGGTAGTGAAAAACTTTGGATAGTAGTACAAGACGGGCATGGATGTAATAATTCAGTGTTTGAAACTCAGAACTTTCGTAATTTTGTATCGAACAACTAAAGTAAAATAACAAATTTGCGACCGATTCTGCGAGTTGCTCGAAAGTCAATCTGAAAGTTGGCATCCGTAGGATAATGAATTTCAAAAACAGTTTAAGTTGTAACGAGAGTTTCCAAGAGTCGATAGCACGTTCTTGCATTTCGTACTGAAAGTACTCGCGAGATTTATGAGTAAGCGATGCGATTAAATTGTTCCCTTAATCGATACAAACGTCTCTGTTCGTCGTGTACCATTGGTCGTCGCCCAGTTAGCATGAATTTCCCTTAACGAGGCTCGTATTCAATATTAATTAAGATTTGTATTAAGCCAGCCATGGAGTGCTAGATATTGCTTCGTAATCTATACCCTTCCTGAG